AAAGCAATGACAAAATATTTAGAATGTGAGATCGCTGATGTGCTTCAGCTAAGATTCTACTCAGAGGTAAATTCATAGACATTAAATATTTTAGAGAAGAAAACTGAAGATATAAGAATGAGAGAACAAAGGAGGAAAAATGCAAGAAAAATGAAAAATAAAAGTAGTAAGTTCCAAATGAGAAAAAACTAAAATTGAAGTTATTTTTTAACAAAAAGAGTGGATTTTTTTTTTCCATTTTACTGTATATGTCTGTATCCTATGAAGGTTAAGCTATGTTTTTATGTAATCATGGTATCTGCAAATAAAGACCATGTATGGTTGTGTTTGCATTGGTTAATACTGCCAAGCTACTTTCTTTGAGGGAGAAGAAATAATTTTGCAAAACCTGTTGGCCCACGGTGTTGATAAACAAAAATCTTCGTTATTAGGATATTTTATTCCACCATTTATATAAAATAATTATCAGGGTCTTGATTTGCTAAAAGTCCTTTTGTTTCTTGCTGAGCCCTATTTGGCTATTGTAAGTATTTTATTTACCATGAACCCTCATAAGATTCAGTGGCTATAAAGAATTAGAATAATTATTTCAAAAATGTTTTCTTCATCATTTGGAACATTTATCTACTTATTTATCATGGGTTTTTGTTGTTTTTGTTTACTTGTTTATTTTTGCCTTCCATCCTCAATGTTTTATTGGTTCCAAGACAAGTCCATTTTGTTTACAACAAATTCCACAGAACCTAGAGTAATGCTTGGTCTACAGAAGGCTCTCAATGTGTTGCTGAATGAACAGAAGAATGGAAGCTAAGGCTTATCCCTGAGTTATACTTTGTATCTGAAAAACACTTCGTTAGAGACCTCTTTGGTTAGTGTGCACATTTAAAATGATATTATGTATCATTTAACCTTGTATACTAGTTCTTATTTATTACATCAGACTCATGGGGCTGTACTTCATTTCTTAAAGAATTCCAGAAACAGAAACAGTCCTTCATATAGGGCTAAATTCCAAGGATCCCCAATAGATAAGCTTTGTTTCTCTATTTTTAGGCCTATAGTCTTAAGATAGATTTCAAAACCGTTTCTTTGTTAAGTAGCTCTGTGACAATATTGTGCATTAAGGTGTCTATGTGTGTATATATAGACAAAGTAGAATACTCATTCAAAACTCCATTTAAGGGTGATAGGGCAACTTTTCTTCATTTTCATCATCTTTTCTGTTCTTGTAGTTACAAATGGAGAGTTGACCTGGGTCCGAGTTAATTCTTCCCATGGCCCTGTCTGTATTGTCCTCCTTTTTTAGTGGTTAAAGTCTGCAGACTTGAGACTGGGCAGTTGTAGGACACCATCTCCGTGGCCACTGTGACTGGTGAAGGAATGGGTGACCAAAATTGGGCCAATCAGAGCCCTTCTTAAAGATTTTTCATATCAATAGATGTGGAATTTTTTTGTTGTTGAGACAGGTTGTCACTCTCTCACCCACTGGAGTGCAGTGGCACGATCTCTGCTCACTTCAGCCTTGACTTCCTGGGCTCAAGCAATTCTCCCACCTCAGCCTCCTCAGTGACTGGGACTGCAAACGTGTGCTACCACACCCAGCTAATTTTTTCTTTTCTTTTTTTTTGGAGATAGGGTTTGGCCATGTTGCCCAGGCTGGTCTCAAACTCCTGGGCTCAAGCCATCTGCCTGCCTCTGCCTCCCAAAGTGCTGGGTCTATAGGTGTGAGCCACTGCACTCAGCTGAAAGTTGTTATTTTGGAGGGATTTATGGCCACCTTCTCTACAGATGTGGTCATCTTTAACTGAAAAAGGGTGAAACCACTATATTAAGGAATGCTGCAGTGCAATATGGAATCAATCTTGCCAGGTCCCTGCCTCTAGGGAGTCAGTCAACCCCCAGACTAGCTCCATTTCTGCCACATGCATCCTGAAGTGTTCCATTCTTCCTCTCATTCTGTAAGGAATTAGCCCAAGGTCCTTCCAAAGAACCACCATTTTCTGTGATCAAGTTGGGTTTCTATTGCTTGCAACCAAAAGCATTCTAATTCAACCATTCTAATAGTTTGCAGTATATTTGAAAGAGGAAAATCTACATGTTTTAATGAAGTATACTTTGGGAAAACGCTCCACCTTTGGGATTCGTTTATATATTGTGCTCAATTTTAAAAAATATATGACATATATTTCATATATATGACATTAGCCACAGACCCTATGTTAATGTCAAGTGTTTTAACCACAAAATAAGTGAATGCAGACTTTCAGCCTGAAAGTTGAATGCTGGCAGCCTTCCTTTAGGTCAGAAAACTGAGCAGTTCCACAGCACTGTCCTTTAGAAACCATACTCCATGGAAGTTTATTTTTGTTTTTAATTTGTATATATTTATGGGGTTCAAGTATAATTTTGTTACATGCATAGCTTGCATAGTTTTCAAGTCAAGACTTTAGGGTCTCCATCACCCAGATAACATACATTGTGCCCATTAAGTGATTTCTCATCATTCATTGTCTCCCAACTCCCTCACCTCTCTGAGTCTCCATTCTCTATTATTCCACTCTATATGTCCATGTGTACACATTTTTTAGCACCTACTTATGAGTGAGAGCATGTGATATTTGACTTTCTGTGTCTGGCTCGTTTTACTTAAGATAATGACCTCCAGTTCCATCTATGTTCCTGAAAAAAAATCAGATTTTACTCTTTTTAATTACTAAATAGTATTTCATTGTGCATATAATCACCATCTTTTCTTTATCCAATCATTCGTTGGTTGACTCTATATGTTCGCTATTGTGAATAGTGCTGTGATAAACATATGAGTGCAGGTATCCTTTTGATACACTGATTTCTTTTTCATTTGGGTAAATATCCAGTAGTGCGATACGGATTCGAATCGGTAGTTGTGTTTTTTATTCTTGGAGAAATTTCCATGTTTTGCTTAAGATTGTAGCTAATTTACAATTCCATCAATCATTGTATTAGGATTCTTTTGTTCTCGTTCATCTCACTAAATCTCTGTGGTTTTTTTGGGTTTTTTTTTTTTTTTTTTTTTGTCTTTAATAATAGTCGTTCTAGTGACAGGCACAGTGCTCCGACGCCTGCAATCTAGCGACTTTGGGGAGTCGCTGAGGCCAGGGTGGGATCACAAGGTCAAGAGATCGAGGACCTTCTCGGCCAACATGGTGAAGCTCCCATCTGTACTAAAAATACCAAAAATTGGCTGGGCGTGGTGGTGCGTGCCTGTGGTCCCAGGCTATTGGGGAGGCGTGAGGCAGCGAGAATCGGCTGACCCAGGAGGCGGAGGTTGCAGGAGCTGAGAGTCTGCACACTGCACTCCAGCCTGGGTTGACAGAGAGAGACTCGCGTCTCAAAGCAAAATAAAAAGTAATAATAGCTATTCTGACTAAGGTATGATGATATCTCATTTTAATGTGCATTTCTATGATGATTAGTGATGTTGAGAATTTTCATACACCTTTTGGGAATTTGTATGTCTTCTTTTGAGAAATGTCTATTCATATTTTTTGCTCATTTTTAATGAGATTATTTTATTTTGTATTTGTTGAATTGAGTTTCTTGTAGATTCTGGATATTAGTATCTTGTTGGATGAATAGTTTACAAAAATGTTCTCTCATTATGCAGGTTTTCTATTCACCCTATACTATGCAGAAGTTTTTTAGTTTAATTTAGTTTAATTATATCCCATTTGTCTTTTTTTTTTTTTTTAAGACGGAGTCTCACTCTGTCACTCAGGTTGGAGTACAAAGGGGTGATCTTGGCTCACTACAACTTCTGCCTCCTGGGTTCAAAAAATTCTCCTGCCTCAGCCTCCCAAGTAACTGGGATTACAGGTACATGCCATCACGCCCAGCTAATTTTTTTGTATTTTAGTAGGGACAGGGTTTCACTGTGTTGCTCAGGCTGGTCTTGAACTCCTAAGCTCAGGCAGTTCACCCACGTCGGCCTCCCAAAGTGCTCGGATTACAGGCGCTCGCCACCTCGCCTGGCCCTATTCATTTGTTGTTATTGCTTACACTTTTGAGGTCTTAGTCATAAGTAATTTGCCTAGACTACTGTGCAGAAGAGTTTTCCCTAGGTTTTCTTCTAGTATTTTTATAGTTTCAGGTTTTACTTTTATGTTTTTAATTCATCTTGAGTTGATTTTTGTATACAATGATAGGAGTTCAGTTCCATTCTTTTGCATATAGTGAATCTATTTTCCCAACACCATTTATGGAAAAGGGTGTCCTTTCCCCAGTGTATGTTTTTACTGGCTTTGTCAAAGATCAATTAACTGTAAAGATGTGATCTTATGTCTGTGTCATCTATTCTGTTCCATTAATCTATGTGTCTGACTTTATACCAGGACTTTGCTGTTTTGATTATTGTAGCCTTATAGTATAATTTGAAATCAGGCAATGTGATGCCTCCAGCTTTGTTCTTTTGCTTAGGACTGCTTTGGTTATTTGGACTCGTTTTTGTTCCATATGAGTTTTAGAATTGTTTTTTATAATTCCATGAAAAATGATGTTGGTATCTTGATAGGGATTTCATTGAATCTGTAGATTGTTTTGAGCAGTATGGTTATGTTAATGATATTAATTATTCCAATTCATGGGATGTTTTTCCATTTGTTTGTGTCATCTACAATTAGGCAGGCAGATCACCTGAGGTTGGGAGTTCAAGACTAGCCTGGCCCACATAGTGAAACCCCATCTCTACTAAAAATACAAAAATTAATTGGGCATGGTGGTACACACCTGTAATCCCAGCTACTTGTGAAGCTGAGGTGGGAGAATTGCTTGATCCCGGGAGGCAGAGGTTGCAGTGAGCCGAGATCATACCACTGCACTCCAGCCTGGGTGACAGAGTGAGACTCTGTCTCAAAAAGAAAGAAAGAAAGAAAGAAAGGAGGCGGGGGGGAGAGAGAGAGAGAGAGAGAGAGGACGAAGGGAAGGAGGGAGGGAGGGAGGGAAGGAGGGAGGGAGGGAAGGAAAGAAGGAAGAAAGGAAGGAAGGAAGGAAGGAAAGAAGGAAGGAAAATACTTTGTGTAAATTTGCCATATTTATGCTCCTTCTATTAAAGCATGTTTACTTGCACTGTGATTTTATCTTTTAAGCGAAATATTTCAAACAGGTAGAGAACAGTATAGTAAATGTCTATGTACCCTCCCTCCTAGCATAAAAATTATAAAGTTCAATTCATTTTTTCCTAGTTTTCGCTAACCCAGAGGGTAATTTAGACCCTATATTAACAGTAACAAATAGCGTTTTTTTTTAAAAAAAATGTCTGTCCCAAAGGCTAGACAGCCCACAAGGGTTTCCCTCATTATTTTGGGAAATTGTGTGAGGGTTGCTTTCTAACACCAGGAATTTGCACAACCACATGGAGTACATGGTTCTCTCTGGCTCTGGCTCCATCTCCCAGCAGAAATGTCTGCTGCCAGTAGCTATGGAAGGCACCTAAGGGCTGCTACTGCCACAGGTGCCACCTGCAGCTGACACTGTTGAAGCTATACTTCATTGGGTCCTTGGAGTGGTGACGGTGCTCTTGTTCTCCCTGGAGGTAGAAAAAGCCTTCTCCTCTTCTTGAGATACAGGGATCCTAAATTAGTGTGGCTGGTGATCACAACATCTCATCAATATTTGGTGAAACAGGCCTCACAGCTGTTCATCAGACAAGTGAATTAACTGACCAATTGTTGTACTTAGAACCTTTGTGGTATAGCTGTGGTTTGTGATTTATGGTATATCCATATGATTAAGTACAATGTACAGTTTTCAAATGATGATTATGAAAATTATGTGGCAAGATAGTAACATGGTCATTACATACTTTTAAGTAGAAAAATCAGGATTCAAAATTATATGCATATTATGATTAAAACGTATTACTTGTGATTATAATAACTATTATGATTTTACTTACAAACAAATAATTAGAGAACATAGCCATGTTAGGGGGAGGATCATAAGTTATATCATAATGACAGAATTTATTTTTCAGAATGTTTATTACATAAAGTAATAAAATATTTACTATGTACTAAAAATTGTTACCAAATATTAAGTATTGCATAATCTTTCTGTTTTGTAAAACACTGTCCGAGCACCAGTACTAAAGGATCTTTTATACAGCTGATTACGGCAAGAACCTGGAATCAATAAAATATGGTATTTTTTTTCTTCGTCTCAAACTTTCTCTGTCTCTCTCTCACCCCTGGCTCCATCTGCCTCTGCTTCTTCCTGTCCTTTTCCCTCTCTCTCTCTCTCTCTCCCCCTCTCCTCTCTCTCTCTCTGTCTCTCTCTCTCTCTCTCTCACACACACACACACACACACACACGATTTGTTAAACTCAGAAGGGAAGATTAAAAACAAATAATTCACCTATAATAATATACTAGTGTTTGTTTAAAGTTTGACTTTTTAAATTAAGCTTTAAAAAGTTTATTATTTAGGGTCATAGCAGAAAAAAAGATGTATATTCAAAGGTTTGTCATTGAATACAGTTTAATAATGGGACTCTTTGCAAAGGTATGGGCGGATTAAGGGAGCTGGGAAGGAAGAGTGAGGCACCCAGGAACTAGCAACTCTGGGAAGTCATTACCATCCCTTTCCTGAAGGAGCAAGGAGGAGGGAATTGACCTGGAACCTAGTGAGAGCTACAGCCTTGGGAGAGGAGCTGCCCGACAAGAGATGCGGCCGTAAAGGAAAAAGCACAGCTGTAGAAACAGAATGGAGAGAGGAGTATGTATCCTGGTCTGTCCTCCTGCCTTCTGATTGCCCGCCAGTGCTTCCCACTGGCCAAACCTGACTGCAAGATGGAGGCCAACGGAGCCTGGTGATGCAGTCCCTGGAAGTCAGCCTCTTGACATAGAGAAGGCAAAGAAGGGTGGAGAATGAATTTGGAGGGCCAAATGGAGAATAACCAGTACACAGCACTCAGCTTTTCCTTATCATAGGAGACAGGTAAATATCTGTTTAACTACATACAAAACTTCGACCTTGAAGCTGCTGAAAAGTGCAGATTACTTTTAATTGTGCTACATTTTCCTGGGCAGGGCTGGAGTTTGGATGGCTGTGTACTCTGCTGATGGAAATTTATGGCTGTGTCCATACGCTGTACTTTATTTGCAACGATGATCTGAAAGTCTTCAGTTTCCTGCACAATCCTGGACTGGTCATGTCTCAGCCTGTGACCCAGCTGTTGTTGCGCTGGAGCTCTTTCATCCTGTTTGCCAACTTATATCTCCTGTGTCCTGTATCCATGCTTTTTTCTTCTCGCACTTTATTGGAGCACACAAATAGATTCCTTAGAAAGTCTTCATAAGAAGCTAATTTTCTGAGACCGTTCATGTCAGAATATGTCCTTACTCTAACCCTTGACTAATAGTTTGGCTGAGTGTAAAATTTTAGACTAAGAAACATTTGTTTTTCTAAATAGGGCATTGCTTAATTTTCTTCTCACAATTGTATATGTCATTTTTTTCTCTCAAAATTTCCCTTGATCTGACTTTTTGGGATATTTCCTTATCTTCCTAACCTTCTATGTATTATTTTTATTTTGGCCAACTAGTTCTTTTTAACCTTTGTTTTTCTCACAGCATCCTCTTATTATTTTAAAGATGTCATTTATCTGTAGATATGTGTATACAGTAAATATACAAATATGTACACAAATACACATATGGGTGTGCATTTATTTAATCTTTCAGGATATGAGATGTTACTTTTTAGAAGTTTTACTGTGTTCTCTGAATTATATTGTTTTCTCCAGTTTTCATTTTTCTGTTTATTTTGGTTTCTCTCTTTTGCCTTATGTATTGTGATAGTCAATTGTTTTTATTAGACTGAGGCATCAAAAGCCGATCTGAATTGTAGTGTATTCATACAATGGAATATTATTCTATCATAAAAATGAATGAAGTACTGATACATATAGTAACATGGATAAACCTCCAAAACATTATGCCAGTTGAGAGAAGTCAACGCAAAAGGTCACATATTGTATGATTCCTTTTGTATGAAATATCTAGAATAGATACATTCATGAGAACAGAATGGAGATTGGTGATTTCCAGGGGTCAGGGGAAGGGGAGAATGGAGAGAAAGTGCTTAATAGGAACAGAGTTTTACTTTGTAGCGACGGGGACTTGATAGAGGTGGTGGCTGCAAACATTACAAGTTTACTAAATGTCACTGAATCCTTCACTTTAAAATGGTAAATTTTATGTGACCATCTCTTCAATAAATTGATTTTTTTTAAAGAGCTGCCGGGGAGTCCTGTGGATGTGTGGCATGACAAGCAGTGGCCTTCATTTCTGAATAATAAGGCAGCAAACCAGTCACCCTGAGAGGGCCCCAACATTGTTAGTGTGTACATGAGAGGATTTACTCTGGGACTTTTTCACACAAAAATGCTTCCAATCTCTCCCCTAATGGGCAGCAGCCCAGTTCACTAAGTTCTTCGTTGGTCTGAGGCCTGCATGTGATGTTAGTTCCCATGTTTTGTTCCTTGTGCATCTTTCCGCTCTTGCTCTGAACCTGGTTTCTTGCTCCCAAAGCCTCTCCCTCTCAGCCTCTCCGGAGGCAAAGCACTGGTCCTCCACTGAGCAGGTAGAGACCTTGTCCTCCTAGTGGGAGGGCAGGAAGGAAATCTTCAGGCTTTCTTCCCTTGCCTCCACCTACCGTGTGCCATACCGAAAACCTCTAAAGGCCTTGGCACAGCCAGCCAACTCTCCCCATTGGCTGGCGCTCCCTGCAGCATCCCTCCGGTGGTGAACTGGGGCTTTCTTCCCTGGAAACTCATTTCTATCATTCTTCTGATGTTGTGTTTGTGTCCTCCTGTTTTCTTTGTCACTAGGGTTTATGCTTTTAAAAAAGCTTTTGTTATTTTAATACCACCTCAGGAGGGAGAAGAGATAAGCCAGTTTCTGGCTTAATACGCTTGTTTTTTGTAGTTGGTTGGTTGTTTGTTTTTTGAGATGGAGTTTCCCTCTGTTGCCAAGGCTGGAGTGCAATGGTGCTATCTTGGCTCACCGCAACCTCTCCCTCCCTGGTTCAAGCGATTCTCCTGCCTCAGCCTCCTGCGTAACTGGGATTACAGGCGTGTGCCACCACATCCAGTTAATTTTTGTATTTTTAGTAGAGAAAGGGTTTCGCCATGTTGGTCAGTCTGGTCTCGAACTCCTGACCTCGTGATCCACCCGCCTTGGCCTCCCAAAGTGCTGGGATTGCAGGTGTGAGCCACTGCGTCTGGCTTACATGTGTGTTTAAATAGAAGAGAGTATATTTCTTCTGACATCTTGCTGGGAAATTTTACCTCAGAGTGAAAAGAATGTTGCTTTTCAATTGTGCTTTCAATTGTCGGTTCTAAATTAAGTTGTGTTCTCAGCCAAGTTGACAAATTGCCTAATCTTTTCTTATGTCTGATTTTTAACTGTTAAAATGGTGATTGGAGGTGGTTAGGGATGACAAGACATTGGGGAGGAGGCTCACATCTATTAAATGCCAATTATGTGCCAAGTGAACAATACTTTATTTCCTCAGGCTTCAAGTACAGATTACTGAAACTAAACTAATGGTTACCTGTCTTGTGTGATTGTTTTTGCTAAGTGTTGATTCTTGTAACTCTCTTTGAAGGTGAAAATCAAATAAGGTAGTGTCTCTGAAGCCCTAGAACATGCCTCCATGACAGACTTTTCAGACATCATTGTCATTATTCGTTGACATCACTGATTCCCAGCCCCAACAGGAAGGAATCCTGACTTATTCATCACCATGCACAAAAGTAGCTCCATGAATAATTGTGGAATTCGTGGTACTCCTGTTATAAGTATAATAATTTTGATGGAAGAAAATAAGTGGTAAGTATAAAGTGATCTCAGAATTTAATGTCTTTAATGTCAGCTAGGACTAAAACTAAGAGCCTTATGTTCACAGATTGCTACTTAGTGATGCTGTTTTTTTGTTAGAAGAAATCAACTGGTACATGTACATTTCATTGTGAGGACCCTAAATCTACTCGTTGGTTTAAGCAAGTTGAAATTTATTTAAGGAATCTAATTTCAGCCAGAACTCTGGGACTTATAAGAATTATTGGCCAGGTGCAGTGGCTCACGCCTCTAATCCCAGCACTTTGGGAGGCCGTGGTGGATGGCTCACTTGAGGTCAGGAGTTCGAGACCAGCCTGGCCAATATGGTGCAACCTGTCTCTACTGAAAATACAAAAATTCACCGGGTATGGTGGCACATGCCTGTAATCCCAGCTACTCAGGAGGCTGAGGCAGAATCGCTTGAACCCGGGAGGCGGAGCTTGCAGTGAGCCGAGATTCCACCACTGCACTCCAGCCTAGGGGACAGAGCAAGACTCCATCTCAAAAAAAAAAAAAAAAAAGAAAGAAAGTTATCATATGGCTTTTCATTTTATTTCCCCACCTTTTTTTCTCCCTTCGTGTCTTCCAGGGGCCTCCCGGTATCTTTCTATGCTGCATGCCATCTTCATTCTTTTCTCTCTGCTGACTGCTGCTAAATTTACTCATCACCTTGTGCTGGGCCGCTTTAAAATGTTCGCCTCTTCCTGCTGGCTTTCCAGCTTGGTGTCACATAATTTACCAACTCAGTATTTGTTCATTCTAACTCAAAGCTCCCAGGAGGGATAATAATTGGCCCATCTTGGGTCAGATGTCTACTCCTGCTCTTCCATTGGGACAGAGGGTCTGCATGTGGAGGGCTGGGAAAAGATGGCATCTCTAGTAGAGTACATTTGCCAGATCCCTCTCTCTAAAGGAGTTAAAAGATTGTTGTTATTATTTATTCATAAGTAAGGTATTTTATCCAGAACTTAGTAGAGGAAGGTTAAGGTGAAATGTGGATGGATATGTTCTCCTTTAGTGTAGCAGGAAAGCCCCCTGTGCCTGGGAATAGTGAGTCCTTTTTAGACTGTGCTGTCTGACGCCGCTCTTCCTATGATCAAATAGGAGCACTCCCCCGCTCTAGAACTAGTACTTTTCCTCTGCTTCAGCAAAATTCTTCAAGTGGTCATTCTGACGCTGGTAGCTAACAAAGCAGTTGCAAGCAGAGTTTGGAAAAATGGAGCCTCTGTTACCCCAAGGCTTGGAAGCCGCACTTGAAAGAGGGATTGTCCCATTTCCATCTCTGTGATCTCTAACTGCCATTTTGCACACAGAGGGCACATTTTGTGGCTTGAAATGAGAATAGGAGAGAAGGCAGATTCTGAGAGAAAGAATACGCATGGGAGAGAGCTAGAGAGCTGCTCCAGAGAGTAAAGTTCACATTTTACATAGAAAGAGTGGTCCTGGGAGTTGTATAACGAAAGCATTACATTTATTTATTGTATTATGATTTAGATACACCACCTGTGTATACCAACTCAGAGGCTTTCTCTGAGTTGCTTCAAAATGAGACTCTGCGCTTTAGAGAAAGGAAGAAGTGATGATTAGTTGTAAGGACAAATATGGACTAAAACTGGAAGCCTGTCTGTACTCTGAGGCAGCTCTAGGAAAGTGGCTGTTTAGTTCTTCTCTGTGATGGTCAACTCGATCTTATTGTCATGGTGTCTTTGGTTATCTCTTCTCTGATCACATTTTGACTCATAGCAATACTCTTGAGCCCCGAATTCCTGGTTCGATGAATATCCTATAGCCAGGATAGTAGAACTTGTTTTACAGAGTGTACACAAATGCTGTCTTCGGAAAGGGACTTAGGAGCCAGGGGAAATAATGGGCATAATGATGCTTAATGAGCTGCTAAGTGTACTCAGAAGTTGATAACATTGATTTTTCAGTCCTCCAGCTAACCAGACAGCAAGCCACCCAGAGTGTCTTTTCTTGTGAGAATGGTGCTGGGTCACTCGTGTAGCTTTTCTGGGGTGACTCAGAGATAAGGGCAACCAAGACTGGTCATAGGATCCGCAAAGGCCATGTATAGAGGGACACCATTTCTTAGAATGCTGCCTGGCTGGAAGAGAAAGTCTTGAGTAGACTCACTCTGTTGCCTAGGATGAGATTTGTTCTCTGCAAAAGAGCAGAAAAGTCTTCATAGGTAGGGGCACATGAAAGATTTGATATGAGCAAAGGGGATCAAGTGGACCTCACAGTTTTAAATAATATTTTTTCTCTGAAAAGTGGCCCTCTAACTTTCAAAATTGCAAGCATTACAATCTGCTTGAATTTTAAATTTAATAAATGTTCTGTCAACTCCCGGACTTGAAAGTTGCATTAACCAAAGACGTGCCTTTAGATGTAAGTTTAAATAAAGCACCTCTAAAGAAGACTAAAATTCTATGTAATTTTACATAATTAAATGTAGCTATTTTGTCATACTACAATTTTCTGCTTTGCTCCTTATGTCTACAATTTTGATGTTCGTCATGGATTTGGATGGTTTATTTCAGTGCAAGCTTACCCACATTTGTAGGGTGCAGATGGTAATTATTCTCTACCCAGAGTCAGACAAGTTGCCCCAAGTTCTCAGTTTAATGACGTTTGGAAGAATTTTAGCAAAACAAATAGTGAATACTCTTCAAATCTGAGCACAAACAATGAAAGCAAAAGTAATTTCCAAAAGGTCACTTTTATTTCTGCTGCTGTTCTACCTTTTCAATGTCTCTATCCTTTTCATTGATGAGAATTTGATTGAGCATATTGACACTGGCGTTTCTGAAACGACTGAGATTACCATACAATTCCAAGGGTTAATATGTTTTTGGTTACAAGAAACTGTTTTTTCAAGAGCTTATCTTTAGAAAATATTATTTTCTTGTTTTTTCAAATAAAAGATGATCAGAATGTCAAAGTCTGAAATCCTATGAGTCTTTGGGCGCAATTTTTTTCTCATTTCTTTTCTATCACACACAGAAATTAATGTTTTGAATTTTCTATGCTTTTGTATAGAAAATTATTCATGTACTAAGCTCACTGAAGTTAGAAAAGATGATCTCAATCTATGAACACTGTCATACATGCTTTGTTATTATGAGCATAGCACAGGGCTGTGGGCCAAGGAGACTACAAAAGAAATGTAGGATCAGTGCTCCCCAGAATATGTAATCTAGTGAAGCATAAGCAGTACAGCAGTGTTTTACAGCTTTCTTTTAAAATAGACTTAACTCACTAAAAGTCTGAGGAGGTCTCCATAAAAATGTTGAGATTATGAGTACAAAGAATATGTTAATATGGCAAAAATTATGTAGGTGGCTTGTAGATGACCCACATTTGTATAACACCATGCTTGTAGTCTTAACAGCATTGC